TTCAATTTTTCTTTGAAGCAGGTCTTGGAATAAATTTGCTTTATTCATGAATTCCTGAAGCTAACAAATTATTCAAAAGACAAGAATAGGTAGGGAAAAAAGGAAAATAAGGTATTCAATACATTTGTAAGTGATCTGACAGGCTAAACTGCCCCAGCTTGCAATGGCATTTACTTTTCCAACCACTTAGATAGCATTGTGAGACTTCTGTTTATCCGTACTCCTCCGATTTATGTATTTTTTTAGGAAGGATATAACATGCATTGGTTATTTTGAAGCTGGTAAGGGAGTGGAAAAATTAGAAGAAGCTACCTTTTGCTATTTCCTTACATACACGCACAACAAGTATTCAAGAATCAAATTTCATTAGAAAAGACTGAAGAAAATCAATTAAAAATGAAGTAAATCAGTTAAAAAAGAAGCCTGCATTCATACCTTGTTTCTTGCAAATACAATCTCTGGATCATCAGAATAGTAAAACTCATTTATGGCTGGGACATCATGAGCTGTTATGATATCAAACACACCTGGTGTTTTCAGGGCCTCCGATGTATCTATAGACCTGATTGTGTTGTGGGAGAAATGTATTTCATTAGTTTTACAAAGTTTTGCATAAAGGGAGGAAACCCAAAAGAGGTGGGTTTCATGTATGGCCAGAATCTGCACATAGGTTCAGGGAAGTCTTTACCCTCTCATACTTGTGCATCAAGAGGTCTTGACTCTAGGTCGATGAGTATTTAAATAAAATAAAAATAGTTTGCTTCATTTCTAGAAAATCTTTACCCTAGACCTCAGGTTTATAGGTGCCATTAAATGTGCCTATTAGACTGCCTAAACTGCCCAATAGACAACAGTGTGACAATAGTCACACTATAGCGACCTCCAGCACCTGAACCAATGCTTGCATCGGTGGTGCTGTCCTGTGCACACATAGCTTAATTTCATTAGTCTGCTCTACAGATCTCAGCGCTTCACAGTAACATGTGAAGTCCTCTTTGAACACTTACACTATCTTAGCATGAGCTCTGGAACTAGTGACAACGGCCAGAAAGAGCTCCCCGTCCACAGAAGGAAGGTCATCGATGTAAGCTGCTTCACCCGTGGCATGCTTAATTCCAGACTGGTGCATAATGGGGCGTCCTACAGGATCCTGGGGAGGCTGGCCTGGTTCTATGTCCTGTACAGACAAGAACCAAAATTCCCCATTACAGAAGATTGTTCTTATATTAATCAGCCACATTGTTCTTACATTAATCAGAAAATTAAATGAAAAAACAGCTATTAACAGTATTCTCTTATCATTCAGTATTAAATACAGATTAGGATTTCTTCTCCTAAGGAGCCTCCCAACAACTTTGAAAAGGTTTGTCTCCATAGATGTTTTTCTTAACCTCTTTTTCTGAAGAAGAGCTGCCTACTTTATTGAATGGTGCCATGAGGCCAGAATAATTTTTCTTCCTTTATGCTTGCTAGCTTCTGCTCTGTATTTTAACAGTGTCCAGTGTTACATTTTGAGCAGTGATTTCTAAGTTTAGTAACAGAAAGATAGAAACTGGAAGGGACAAAACTGATCCGCATTTTTAATAATTTCCCTTGCTCAGAGCCAGCTGATCTGAACAATTCTTGCTGGTCACAAAGAACTAGTTCCTTTAATGCTGGCCCTGTTTTACAAGTCTAGCATCTCTTCTTTGAAGGTAGCTCTAAAGGAAGCTGAAGATAATGATTTAAATTTGAAATAGCTTAGAGCAAAAAGTTATTTTAAAAGATAACCAAAATTAAAACAACAAAAAAGTGTTTCCCTTGATTTCATCTGAATTTTATTCAGGTTTTCATAAGCTTGAGATAAGCCTTCTAGGACATGCTTACCAAGAGAAAATCCAAGAGTTGGTCTCTGCTGTCCTCTACTGCTGAGTTCTCCTTAGCACTCTTGTTAATTTGCACAAGCATCCATCAAACACTTCTATCTTGATTCCTAAAACTGTATAAAGGGCTAGGCGCCCTCTTAAGGGCTAGGAAAAGCATTTCTTGAAACAAAAATACTATGGTGATAGCTATAGAGCTGGACTTTTCAGTCTTCAAAATTTACTTCTAATTTTTTTCCAGTTGGGCTGAGAATTCTGATACGGCAAATTTAAGAAGGCTAAAATGGCATATGTTATGCTTATTTACCTCTTTCCAACTTTTTAGAAGAACTTTTTAATATACCCATGAGTCTACTTTTTACAGAGCAGATTTTTAGGATTTGTATACAGACAAAGATCAAGAATTAAGTAGTTTTATTGAGGCCTATTGCCTTCAATCCTCTGGAAAATTTGTATCTGAGCTTCAAAGTCCCCTTCAATCATGACCTTTTACCAGAAGTTTTATAAAGCATAAAGCCATCTTACAATAACATCACTTGCCTGGTATATTTGGATGCTCTGTGGCATTTTGGTTTGGAAATCTTGTAGGACACTGCCATATTCCATAGGCATGCCAGAACAGTGGCAAGGGTCCTGAAAGCAGTTGAATTACTATTAAAACTCATATTCAAATTAAAAAAAGATAACAATCAAAACCACAAAATGCAATCTCTGTTTGTATAAAATTCCTTCAAGTCTTCCACCAGTTAGAAACGCCCCAAAACAAGATTTTTAAAATAGAATTATGAACTTTACTAAATAATCCTTAAAAATGTATTGCATGCAGCAAATATACTTAAGTAAAACAGTGAGAGTCCCAGGAGGTTTGCTCTGCAGTCTGATCAAAACTGACTCAGAATCACTCCTGGTAATGGCAATTCAAAGCAAAAAGCTAGAGGTAGTATAAAAACACGAGAGAGGTGCAAAAGGCATGTTATTCCTCAAACCAACAGATTTGGGGACAAAAATAAATAAGACACAGCTAGAAAATATTGCACCAGTGTACTGCATTGAGTTCTCCCCTCCTAGTCAACATCTCATAGTAGAAGGATGGTTGCTTTAACACAAAGTTACCAAAACCATTATTGTATCCTGACTATTTAGGCTTTTAACAGACAGACATGACTGTTTTCCCTTGAGCCTGGGAGATCAATACTGATATATAGTTATATTAACATAGCTTAAAAAAATAAACAAAAACACAGATAAATGTCAAAGGAAAAGATATTTGGATACCTAACCCTCTATGAATGTGAGTTAGGTGCTCACATTCTGTACTTCTGTACTCTAAAGATAACATTTGTCAGACAGCAAAGCACATTCTACAGATCTCTACCATTAACAGATAACAAAAACCTTACACCATCTGCTTGCAAAAAGAAACAAACACAGAGAACTCATTTACCATCATCTTCAAAGATACAAATACTTCCAGGAAAAATTTATAAAAGAAACTGACTATCAGAGTTTTCTTATAGTCAGCTTTCTCGCCCCAAGTTAAGCTAAGAGCAATTTCTTTAAGGATGAGTCTGCAAGCTTCATCCAGCATCTGCTCATTCCAGGATCTGTCAGGAAAAACAACACATATGTAAACGAACCAGGACCGAAAAAAATAAATATATGTATTAAAACATAAATAATGTAAATATGAGTTGTATTAATACATTTGTACCATATGCATAATCCTGTTCATAATAAAGCCAAAACACTGATTTTAAAAGGGGATATTGCAAAGTGGGAGGGAATGTCAGATGAAGCGCCTGAGATTTTGGGGATTCTGTAGAGGAAAGGCAATTCAATCACAACTCAACCACACCAAGTAGTTATACAGTAAGAGCCTAATCTGGATAGGATCAAAACCAACACAGTGTGAGAATCCTCAAAATTTAACTCCAAACACTTATTGTGCAGGAAAAATGGTGAACCCACTCAAGTGACACCAGGTAATAATCCCAAATGGTCATCATTCAAGCTTGACCAAATCACTCACTTATGTGAATGTGGTCTATGTAGCATCGGCTACATGAAATTTGTGTATGTTCCTGTTCCAGATGGTACCCCCTGTCTCTCAATATTGGAAGCCAAATTTCGTTTATGCAGAGATATAGAGAAGGCAGAAAATTCAATACTCTACCTTCCAATAAGTGCCTGACAGGCTCGTTTTGCACAAATTGTGGTTGAAACACTACCTCCATAGAAAATGCTTAAATCCTTTATTACATCTGTCTCTTCTTCAAAGAGAACTCTCATCCCAGCATTGATTATTGGGAGAGCATTTTCCCGTCGTGGTGCTTGTCGGAATGCAGACACATACTCGCCCTGAGAAGATTAGACAGAAGTGGAAAAGCTGCATGCATATAAATATCTGAAAGCAAAACTTATTGCAATATATGAAGAGAATAAAAAAATGAAGCACTCAAATTTCAAATCTTAGACATTAAACCATTCACTTGCTCCTATTGACCTTTCAGTGGTTTTGTCTTCCCCGATTTTCTAGCAGCCCTGACCCAACCTTCCATAATTCACACAGTTCAGATCACCTAGTCTTCTCATACTAGATAGCCAGAAGACAGTAATGTCAGCAGAGGAAGAGGATAGTGGGGTTGGATACTGGGACTGTAAATACAACAGGACCAAAACTTGCAGACACCAAAGTATCGCCAAACTTCAGTTCTCAAAAGATATGTCTTGTAATTCTCTTACAAGATCCCATATGCATTCTGGTAAGCACAGTATCACGATAAGACTATTGCTCAGTTCAGGAACATTTATGGAAGCATCACAAACGTGTTAATCCCACCCCTTTTCAGCCAGAGATGAGAGGGCTTTATCTGACCGATGTCAATCAGGTGGGTAAAGACTATGGCAGATTGTCCAAAATCCCCTTCTGTAACGAGCTGCCAACAGTTACGGCCCCCACAACTTTGGGGTAATCTTTTACCTAAATATCACTCTTTGTATATCATAAACTACCTGCTGAATTGTGCTTTTTGGCTTGAACTGGAAGACTGGCATTGACAGCATCCAGGTTAATTCCTAAAGTGAGTGCTACTTTAGACACAGGGATTATGCTTCCCTTACTCTGTTCAGACTCTTCAGTTAATAGCGCCTGACTCAGAATAAGCAAATTGGGAATCTACCTTCTTAGAATGGGGGATATAGATAGAGACCAAGACCTCTTCTGGCATAATGGTGCTGTTACCAGATCCATCTGCAAAAAGATCACTCATAGGAATCTGTCGTTTTCTTCCTAAAAAAATAAAAAATAAAATAAAAAACAAAAACACACCAAAAAAACCCCAGAAACTTCTCTACAATGGTAAGTGTGCAATCAACATTCATCAGGCACATTTTAACCAGTAAGGAATGCCTGCAGTCTTCAGGGTGAAACAGTAACTTTAGAGTTTAAATATCATCTCATGATGAGATGATACATTCAAGAAATAAAAGTGTCTTCTCTAGTATCAAAACACCAGAGTCCAGGGCATGATCCCTATTCCATAACTGGCCCTTCGGATACTGCTTTGGATCCCTCTCCCTGCTCCAAATCTCTGCAGCTGCTGTTATCACCACCTTTCCTGCTAAGACATGGGGAATGAAGACAGCAACCGGGAGATAACTGTTGGAAAAAGGGGAAGATTTCTGGTTTTGTTTTTGATTTTTTTTGTCATCCTGAGACTATGAAAAGCTTCTGGAGCCTTGAAGGGAGCAAATACCACTGCCATTTCCTCTCTCTTTGGCAGATTATTCCAAAAATTACTAAGATTCATTATTCAATGAGATAAGATTAAACACAGGATTTCAAAATGGGAAGAAGCCAAAACTCTAAGAGGGATCTAAAACCATAAGAGCCTTCTGAACGCTTAACCTACAGGGGGTTTACCAGTATCACTATATCAGCTAAGCTAGCAGGCCTTCCCTGTAGAAATGCAATTAAATCTGGCAATTAAACCAACTGTTGGCTAAAGCAGTTTTGTTCACATGATTGCAAGAGCACTAGCAGCACAAAAAACAGCAGCACAAACACCACTTCACACTGCTGAAACGCCACAATAATTCACTACTGTGTAATTTAACCTTGTATGTTTGGTGGATGAAGTCACAGTGTATCTTTTACTAATCTCCTCTACTCTTTACACTTTGTAGATGCTGAATAAGGGATCCAATGCTTTTTTTAAAAAAATGGTTTCTTACTAATGGACAGCATTTATCTTGTGAAAACTCTGACCTAGCCCCAGGCTCCCTATAAACAAGTAATCTACAGTAGCACTTTTAAGTGGTTTAGATATGCAAAAAGCGTATTTGAATTCAAAGGAACTGATACTGTCAGAGTGACTGCTTTAAAGCAAGATCTTTTATCATGTTATATAGAACGATTACATTGTAACCTATTCATTCTAGAATATCATTTAGCATTAAAAGTGTATTCCTAAACTATTACTGCGATTTTAACAAAGGATATTTTTTTTGCCAAAGCGTGAACCACAAATGAAGACATTCTCTTACACTATGATTTAAGGTAAATACTAAAAACTTATGTTTCTGAAACCGCCTTTTCTTATGTCATTAAGGACTACTGGATAAAGAAACATGTTAAAGACCTGTGAGGAGACCTAAAATCCACTCCTAATTGTAAGGTTCTCTCAGATCAACATAAAGACTTACCAGAAAGTGATCCTATTCCTCACTCAAATAAATAGTAATGTCACTGGGCTCATTGAGAAGATGAAAATGTCTATCATGTCACTTTTCAGAAGAATATTTTGGCAAATAATATTTGCCAAAAATGTCACCAGCTTTTTGGACAGGAAGGCAGAGCACAAGGAATGGAGCTAGTAGAGGGGAGTATAAACAATGATGGAAGGAAACTGAGGAAATGGGGAAGGCATGGCAAAAGGAGCTAGACTAGTCGCAAAGTGACTAGTGACATTGGAAGCATCTGGGAAGAAGGAGAAGCAGGAGATCTTGTCAGGACCAGAAGGTAATTTTAAAACAAGGACAAAGCACTAACTACAGAAAAATTACTGGGAGAGGGAGCAGTATATAGCTTCTCCACTTGTGAGGTTTTATGAGTTCTTTTACTAATTCACTGCTCTCAGTCACACATGTCATTCGACTGGCCTGAATGCTTACTTTGACATGAGAATTTTTGACGTTCTTCCTTTGCACATTCCCCCCTATCAGATGTGATCTAGTATGTGGGCGGGAAGAGAGTTCCTTAACAAACACTCACAGCTGTAGTGTCATTCCCATACAACATAACCCTGCAACTGTGGCACAAGTAGAGAAACTAGATTTCTCTTCTTACCTCTTGACAGCAGATTGAGCATACAATTGCCAGCTGCCAGAATGGGATTCAGGTCTGAAGTTGATTTTCTACTTACAATGTTTCCACCTAATGACTTGGGGGAAAAAAAAATTCTCCATCATTATCACGCTTTTCTGTTAAGTGTCAATATGCCATGATGATTATATGTAAGATTACTCATATCAAAAGATCAGAAAAGAGACGTACTGACAAAAAAAATTACATATTAAAACAAACTTAAAAATGAATGCAAGTTTTACCTAGGTTCAGAAACAATTTCATATAGTTAATTCACTCAGGCGAATGCTATTGCAAGTAACACAAAACATACAGCAACATTTCTTATCTGTTCTCCTCCCAGAGTCCTTAATTGCTGCAAGATAGCACAGAAAACCCTCATCTTCTCCACTGGAAATTCTGAGATGGCACTTGTCAAGACGTCTTTCACTACAGTGAGGCTGCAGGCAGCTCCAAGAGTCAATCCTGTAACCAAGTTTTAAAAAGTATAATGTGACAGCCTGTTTCACATTACAGAGCTAGAAATATTCATGTGCAGCATGGACAGCCATAACGTGAAGGACCTTTTCATTGTAAAAGGACGGTGATCTTTTGAATTAAAAGACTCTGGGTAAGTTTCATGAAATGGCTGGGTTGAGTTAATGGATCATTTCTATTAAAAGGGCATTCCCTTTCCTGCTTGCAGCTGCTCTTCTCCACTGCTTCCCTTGCATGAGCCTTGACAGAATCACGTTTGGTTGAAAGCTCACCCGAGCTAATCAAGTTTTCAGCATTTTGGTACTTCCTATTTTTAATTTTATTTGAGAAATTTTAAGTTGTTACATTTGTTCAGATTTTAAAAATATATTTCTTTTATAAAATGGCAAACGGTGAATTTGTATTCAAAATTATTAACAGGATTCTAATTATGAATTAGATAAATGTTGAGTAGACACCAGCATTCAGTCAAACAATAAAGAAAAAATAAAACATTAAAAAAAACTTATTATTAATTAAATAAAATTACATTAAACTCTGTGTATTGAAGTTTATCAAAATATGTTTTACATATAAATATGTTTGAACAGAGGCAATATTATCTCTGGCTGGCAAATTAAATGGCTCATCTCTCATTTTAGAACTTGTAAATCTCATTCTCTCATAACTGGACTTTATTGGTAGATTAAAAGAAGCAGTAAACAGTCTTCCTGCCTCTCTCAACTCCCAGCCGTTTCTCAGCTAAGAAAAAAGTAGTCACTGAGCTGAACTAACTGGCTGAACTGAGCTGCAAAACATATTCTAAATGCAATGATAGAACGGTCAAATCGCAGTTTATCGCTTCAAAAAATCTGGCTTCAACCATATAGCAGGAAAAAATCATTTAGAGGTTGATTTGTTTAAAACTTTGGCAGTAAGCATGCACCACTTCTCTTATATCTAACTAATTTAGACTATTACAATAAGCTTAAATATATTTATAAATTTAATTGAAATTAGAAATTATATTTTAAAAATAAAAATTGATTTGGGTTAAATTAAAAAAAAATCCCTGTATTGGTCTTGTATATATAAATTGAATAAAGAAGTGTAAATATACAATAATTAATAGTGTCACTGCTGAGAACTAGGCTAGTTAATGTATGTTAGCTATTCCAGATTGATTGTAGCCTTTTTTTCCGATAATGTAGACAAGCCTGTAATGTTGCCAACTATGGCTCTGTCTATGTTACATGACACAGCATGGAGCAAAGATCTAAACGCAAATGCTGCATGACTTGGCACCAGAAGCAGGATTATCGGGATAATTACCCTTGCACTAACATGGCTAATGGGACCCAAAAGAGTATTCAAGATCAGTGGTGTACTGTGCCATGAGAATAGATCGCTATCGTGCAGAGCGTGGCCACAGTCACCTCGACCTAGGGAGGAAGCAAACATGCTTAGGCATGACTAGACAGCCAGATACCCTGAACAACAATTTACACCTTCTGCACTACAGAATGGATCAGCACTGCTTACTGCAGAGGAACCTCACACGCAGCAACAAAGTCAAGTCTACTAACCATCATCCGTGCATTGCACCAAGTTCAGATCCAGAACCCTTGCTGGAGCAATAACAATTGGATAAAGTATTCCTCTGAATTTCATCTCCGGTCCTATCAGATAGAAAAACACTTATATGAAAGAAAAATAAATCAGCACTTTTCCATGATGCCAGTCTCAACAGTGGAACCTAACATTAGGGGTGAAAAAGCACAAATAAAAGTAGTCCTACTCCTCCTGCGCACACTGAAGATACAGCAATAGGAGCTGTTTTGATTGTACATACCTACATTGGTGTTCCCAACGACGAGAGGTGCTTTGGGGTAGGTAGCTTTCAGATCCAGTAATTCGTCTAAGCTTACAGGAGAAATCCACGTCATTCTCTCACCATGGAAAACCAAAGTTTGCTTTGGTTGACTTTCAGCCATCCTCTGATGGAGAAATGCAGTGGATTAAAATATTTACATATATAGAGAGGTGAAAGTGTCTAATAGACCTCATATTCAACTAGAGAACACGAGAATGTCTTCAAAAATAGCAGTTCTACTTAATCCTTCAAAACAGGACAGAACTGATACTGCTATGTTGCTCTTTTACAGAATGCTGAAGCTTTTATACTTCATTGATGAAACATTTTCTGTTCGTTCCAATGAGCTAGTAAAAACAAATGATAATAAACATCCCCAAAGAAAAAAAAAAGTAGAAATAGATTCTGTATCTGCTAAAATGAACAGTAAAATGAACAGAAAAACAATTTTAAAAAAATCTAGGGAGGGCTTTATATAATTAACTTGCTTAGAGATCACCAATGACATTGAGAGCAGCACCTCTTCATCTCTTCATACATTAAGCACTGATGTGGATGTGTCTGGTTGTTCTGATCACTGACCACTTGGAAATAGTTTGTGAGCTACTGGTGGTACAAATACCAGTTAGGAACTCCTGACCTAAATTTTTCTCCATAAGCAGCCAAGTACTTAAAGAGAAGTTTTGTTTTGAGATCAATATCTTGATAAGGAAGGAATGGGAACAGATTTTAGTCTTTTCTAGAGCAAATACTGTGGTCTGTAATTAAGGATTGACACTTTCTGTTTCAGTGTCATTGTATCAGGTGTTTATATCCTTGCTGCACTTTAATCACTGGGACTAAATGCAACCCATCTGGTATGAGGCTGACATTTTGGAAGAAAAGCTTAGCAAAACTATTAAGCCACAAAACAGGGAAAACACGTCATTTTTCCAGTGCTATAAAGTGTTTGCCATCCAGTTCGCACCTCCAGAAGCCACATCAAAAATTCATTTTAGGTGACTTCTGTATTCTCATGTCATGTTTAACTCTGTAACTCCATTTTCCCAATATGATTATATTTTATAAGTGAATATTCAAAGAACTTGCTGAAAGAGTATCATTTTGGATTGATATAAAGATATTACAACATGTGTTGTTATGGATAAGCAGGATTTCAGAACTAGAGACCACTGTTAAGGAAAATGTGAAGCTGAAGAATAATGTGAAAACAACATCATTACCATTAGTTCTGGGGGAAAGATAAGCTCTTGGGTGGGATCTAGAGGCTGAAATTCATCTGTTGAGAAGAGCCTGGTGCAAACCTTAAAAAGATGGAAAACAATAAGTAAAGAACATTTTTTTTCCTGCATCCTTAATTCCATACCCAAAAAAAACCAAGTCCCAAGTCCCACTGAAGTCAGAAGAAAGCTGATAATTTGATCAATCTTTGAATAGCCATGCATCAGTAGGAGGCGATGAGGTGAGGGAAGCAGCCATCACAGTTTCTCAAGACACACTGCTAGTAGAAATGAAACTGCAGAGGCAAGTAACTGGAAGCCTAGCTACAAGCTTCCTATAGTCCTATTATAAGGAAGTAGCTCATGTCATTCCAACCTGCTTTTACTCAAAAGGAAGAGCATTAGATCATATATAACTGAAAGAAAACTTAGAACAAAGTCAAACATTCACACAGATAAGATACAAAAATAAGACCATGACTGATTTTAAGAGTATTTCACTGAACATTTCACTGATCATAATTCTAGATAGCTCTACATATGTCCTGATTTTTTACTAATGCAGTGATTACAATAACAGAACAGGAATATTTCTGAATTTGAAGAATTGCCTGAGTCCCAGGCATGCAGATCAAAACTACTTTCTACCAGCTATTACATGATCTCCTCCTCATACAAACATATACAAACAATCCTTAAATTTCAGAAGTACCTTCAAGTTCCTTGCCAAAAATGGCAAATCTGATTAAAAGAGAAACATTATGGAATAAGGTGAAATACGTGAAGGATAAAAATGGCAGCATATGTGACATTTATTTTAATTACAAGAAATCAGTAATGTAATACTTCCTGTTGTTTCGTATTTAAATAGGAGAGTAAAAATACTTAAAATCTCACCTTTTCTCCGTTGTCAAATAAATCATTGTCTTGATCCAAGCAGCACTTTCCATTTGCTTTATTTTGACAGCAAACTGATTCCTAAAAAAGGAATATTCCATTAGCAAAGTACCTCTGAGAATGGCAGTAAGTGAAAATCCACTTAAGCCATCAAGAATCTTTCTTTAAATTTAAATAAAGTTTTGGATGAACCTTTATAATACGGTCACCTTATAGTAAGATATTCAAAAATATTTTAAAATCTTAGCATGCAAAAGCCCTTAATACAAAATACTACATACAATGTCTACTATGTGAAACAGAGTTGATCTTGTGAGAACACACACAGGACCATCTGAATTATGTTTGACCCACCGTTCACTCTTTCCTTTCTTCCTTGATACATAGTACTACATGATAAAGAGCATAAATCCAAATTCTGCTTTTTTTTTTCCCCTATGAGTCAGGCCATTAAACACCTTATTAAGGTTACAGAGAAGGTAAGCCTGCAGCTCTTAAGAGAAGGAAGATATGACCTCAATACAAAATTATGATGGTGTGTAGATATACTGACACTGCATTTTACAGTAAGTCATGCACCTGTCTCCATAGGAAAAAAAAAAAAAGCATTAGTTCATAAATATATGGTTAGTACAAATAAGCATAATCCAGTATTCCCAACATCACTACCTCACAAAAGGTTTTGCAGGCATCTAGGATTGGTCTATACCCAGTACAGCGGCACAAGTTCCCTGCAAAATAAAAATGAGTAAGAAAAGGCTTTGTTCTAAATATATGGGTGTTTAAGTGTCACACCCCTGCAGAAGGCTTCTGTTTTTAAGCTTAGGAGGTGTTAGCTCTCTGAAAGACAGTAGAGATCAGAGTGTCACAACACTGAGCATCCAGCAACTTCTGAGGAGAAAAAAAAAATCCACAATGATTCGAGGAAAGCATGAAGTGAGAATATCATCAGGGGGAATGCTGTCTACAGCACCCTTCAAAGGATGCGTTGAACACACATATGTCCACAGTTCCACACTTCATATTCCAGGAGTGATAGAGAATAAAAGGTTTGTATCCAGTACCAAAATCAATTCCACAGGGAAGCACAATTTAAATATATGCATGCGCACATGCAGACACACACACTGGCACTCGCATACACAGAATATCAGAAAGAAGAAGGACACACGTTACCATACCTGATTTTAAGGACTACATTAAAAGTGGCAATATTTACCGGCCAGGGCTGCAGTTATCTGCTCCAAAGTGGGTTCTGGGTGGTTTCTTAGCAAAGTGTATATGGACATCACCATCCCAGGGGTGCAGAAACCACACTGGGAGCCATGGCACTTGGCAAGTCTTTCCTGTAAATAAACACCGCAAATAGCCCTCATTCCAGTGTTCATCACAGCCCTAATCAACTAAGTCAGATATGGGAAAAGTAATAATAAGCGCTTTTGTAACAATGCAGTCCATTTAAGCAAGACATCTCAGATTTAAGTAAGGTATCTCAGATAAGAATAAGTATTTTGGGTGCAACGCCCAAGCACATCTTACTAGGGAAACTAATTATCCTCCAGTAGTCATTCATGGATTTTGCATCTATACTAAAGCATCAGTTAAGGGCCATTGTCCAGATAAATCATTTGCTCAAATGGAAGACAAGCCTGATACACTCCAATTCTTACAAACCAGTTACTTGATCGGTCTGACAACACTAAAGCAAGATCCATCTTGAGCCACATCTCACTGATCCTGAACCCCCATATCTTTGTCTTTTGTTTTTTAGGGATAATAATCAGCACATGAAGTCTCACTGCTACTCAATCCAATCCACATGGAGGAGGAAATCAGTAATGTTACCCAATGACCCCGTGTTCTCACCTGAACTGGATGAACCCTGCTTTCTGTACTTCCAACACCTTCCACTGTGGTGACTGCTTTACCATACAAGGAGCAAATGGGAAGCAGGCAGGCATTTGCTGAATAATGTCTTTAGAATGTAAAGGAGAATCAGGGAACTTAAAGATAGCAGAAAATTATTCTGTGGTATATAAAGATACAGTTTTCATTTACAAAGTAGTTATTACCTTCACTTGGAATAAGACCGCCATAAGCTTTATTTATATTCTATTTTTTTTATAACAACTGCATCTATGAGGAAATAATATTGATGGTTCTGGAGTTTGTATCTTCCTGATATTTCTGTCTCTTCCCATTGCTCTCTAATCTCTTTTGCCCATGATCAACCTTTCTAAATATGCTTTGGAGGAGGCTGGATGGGAGAAGAGCATGGCATAGTTGTTTACAGTAAAGGGGAACTATTTCTGAAAATTTGGAATCTGAATTCTCAATCAAAGGAAATTCATGAGAATACATACATATGTATTTGGAAAAATATTCCAAACAGGGATAAAACACTAAAATGAACATTTTGAATAGTTTTTCATCAATAACAATAAAATATTTTGTTTTACATTGGTGGATATGTTTTTTTTCAACAGTGTCATGCTGATTCAACATTTATAACTCTATTGTCATTTGCTTTGTATTTCAGTGTAATGCAATCATCAAAAGATCATTGTGACTTTTCCTAAAAATGTACTCAACTTAATAACATGTTCCCATTAACATTTTGAAGAACACATTCGCATTTTCGATAGAAAAATCAAGAGTGAACAAATTAAGGGTTGTCCACAGAGCCATGCATGAGACTTGCTAACACCGACCTCATGAGATGGGGGACTGCTGAAATCCTGCTACAAGAACAGTAACCGACGCACTGGAGTAAGAAAGCATCAGCTCTTGATAAGGTGAAAACTCACAGCAAGCTCAAGATCTACAGCCCAGCACAGAGACTGAAAGACTGTTGTGAGGGCTGGAGATAGCCCCAGAACCAAGTCTCTGCTGAAACAAATTTCTTGGAAACCAGAGAGACTGATGCAGGTTTGCTGGGACTCAGAAAGCCACTGAGATGGCTGAAACTAAGCCTGCAAGATCAGTGAGGGAGAAACAGTTATTTATTAATCATTTTACTTCTGTCTTTCATAACATGGCTGAATAAACTGTACTTTGTACAGTGGTTTTGGTTTAAAGTGACCCTACTTTGTGTTCTTTCACAGTTAGGCACAAATTTTACAACTTTGTATTTACAATTTTATATCTGGGAATGATATCTACAGTCATAAAATTCAGTGTAGAGCCTCCCCAACTTTCTGTTAAGGATACTGTATCTTTTTGGAAGCTGGTTCATAAGTTGATATCATCACCGTGCAGGCACCACAGCCACCTCCTCCACAGCTATACTTAGTTCCTGTAAGACGGACTGAAAGAGCTGCCATTAGGGAAAAACAAACAAATAAATAAAACAGTCTTGGAGACTCCTACTTGGTTCAATTTTATTTATACTGGCCAAAACGTTCTTATGTTTCTTTTCTAGGTGAGGGACAGGTGCATATACATATACAGAGGGTGCTTGATTTTGTAGCTCCTGTTTGTTTAGGAAACAGGGCTAAAAATACAACAGATGACTGAAGCGGTTTCACTTAAGGACACATCTAATACTATTGTTGTATCTTCTTAAGGAAGTCACTTGAGTTTGGTAAGTTGGTTTTAATTATCATTTAAGGGAATTTTCCTTGAACAAAACTCTCGTGTCAGTAACTTAGAGAACAAACAAGAAAAGGATACGTCTCTTTCGCAGATAGGACAACAGCATTTGTTCAGGATCAGCATTTTTCTCAATTATCTGCAGTAAAAAAGGAAACTGAAGCATTAAGACAGACAGGCTTTTCAGTCTGTGCACAGACTATATTACCACAAAGTCAGAATAAAATTTTCCTCCTTTGCTTGTCTCTCTCTCACCAAACTACACGTATTCCTAAAGACCAGAGTTTGTTCTCCTTATATAAACGGATATCTCCTTTCCCAACACATAGGCTTCCAGGGAAAAGTGCCAGGACAGCCTGCAACTACTAAAAACAGTTCCTGCTCAGTGAAAGGTCAGATTGAAGGAATTTTTCTTGAATCCTCCTAGAAATAAAAATGGAAGAAGACTTAACTACAATAATGCTGGCAGAGCATGAAGAATTAATGATTTGCAGATTGTAGAGACACTTTAACCCATTAGGATGAACATTACAGGAAGCATTTAAGGTTAGCAGCAGGGATCACTTTTCTTCTAGATTTAAATAAACATTTGCTTGCTTTAATAGACTATACCAACAAAAGCAAACAAAATGCCTACATACTTGTTTCATTAGAGATTTTCTTATTCTGTTGATTGGAACAAGGTAACCCTCTCAGTTGCATTGAGCTAATAAGTAAAGTTTAATTCCACTCTTGTAGTATCATCTTTATGCTGGTCTGTACCCCAGAGCTCAGCAAAATCTTACTGACTTTCAGTTGTGCAACTGAAAACCCTTTCAAAGAGTTGAGAAAAACATCTGCGAATGACAAACTAGTCTGCTCACCAGCTAAATGTGATACCCAGCTGAAAGCCCATTCTAAAATTTCATTTTGACATGCCTTTTCCTCAAGCCCAGAGCTTGGCTAAAGCACATCCACCCTCCTCTGCTACTTCTGCCTTTAAAACTGCACTTACCGTGGGCAGACAAGAACTAGTCAACTTAAAGTAACACTACAAGACTGACTGTTTCTTACCCAGAAAGAGGAGAAAAGGAAGCTCACAAAGGCTTCATGTGAGAATTTGAAATACACTCTAATGCCTGAGAAAAGCACACACCATCTCTGCCCCACACCCTTTTTCCACATACCTTCCCTGCAGCACTTACCTTCCTTCCGTTCACGTAGAAAACCAGCTCAGCCGCCACTGCCCCGTTAAGAGCCATGGGACCCCAGCACAGACAGGGACAGGGGTAGGGATAGGAACAGGAAGCGCCGGGCAGCTGAGCAGCAGCCGCTGTGCCCCGGCACTCGCGCGGCCTCCCTCGCTTAACCCTCCCTGTGCTGCGCGCAGCCCAGGCCTGTCGCTCGCACACGGCCTGTTCAGGAGCACAACCGCAGCACAGGCAGCTGACGCTGCTCCACAACGCACAGGAGAGGAAGCCCGGAGGATTTGCACCATGACTAAATGCAATGTTTGCTTTAAATTAACTTCTGCAGTGATGTTAGAGAAGTTTCAAATACAGACTCAGGAATACTTAATCCTCATCACTTCAAATGAGTTCATGTCTTTTATGAAGAAAAAGCTCCTAACTGGAAGAGATAGAAAAGGCTATGGGACACGAGATTTCAACTCAATGATTTCTGTTTTATTAACAATGTAGGTAATGTCTCAGGAAGGACCTAGGTTTTGAACCTAAGGAGTCCACCTGAAGCACTAGATTAAGTAAGAGTAACGGGGTCCTCTTGCAAGCCAACAGGAGGATGCCTGAAAGCAAAAGCACAGCCAAGATTGTTTTACCTGAACTGTTCAGGGCCCTTCAGCATTGCAATATATGTGCATACTGGCCTAAGCAATTAGATATTGCTCAGATAATGTTAGAGGTAATTCTTATAAATTTATCTTTATTAAACAGAATCTTTTCTACTTCAATGGAATAAAATTTCTCAAGAAAATTCAGCTACTTCAGACTGATGCCAGAGACAGCATAGGGATTTCCAGGAAGGAGAGGGTCCTGGTTCTTCCGTGACAAAAGAATTATCTGTCATTAGTAGCTAGAGGGACATCTTTTCTAGAACACTTTAAAATTATGTTTCATTGTAGTAAAATGATGTTCACTGTTCTTCTGGCCCAATGCCACATTCCAGTTTCTATAGATAGATGGGAATAAATGAACTCTTTATTGAATTTCTTCCTAACAGCAGAGAAAGGAAGAACCAATCAGTTATGAGATCCATGTTCAAACATAATGCTCTTTAACATAGCTACTTTTGCATTTATATTAAGGTATTCTAAACTGGAGACTTTAGAGCATCTCAGACGTGGCAAATGCACTCTATCTTTGAAAATGTTTTGAAAACAAATAATTTTATGAAGCCTTGAATTAAATGCAATACAAAATGTATTCAGCCTTATACTCATAACAAAAGACAATAATGTAACCGCTCTGCAATCAGACCACAGCAAAAAATTCTATGTGTAATATGCCTTAACTATCTGTATTACTGTTATATATCTTTCAGCTATGTTATAGTTATTTGAGTTACTAACTTGCTGCATTTGCTAGCTTCATCCCCATAAACAGTCCCAATGATACTAAAGTTCATATAATATTCATATGTAATTGTGTTTGCACAAGTTTGTCTTTTTAGTCAAAGTATATATCACTACTACTTTGCTTGCACACCATAAAGGAGCAATCAGAATATCATTTCAATTTTAGTAAATGGTATTTAACAACATTTACCACCTTATTTCACCTTACTTGATCAGCAAAATCAAGTATTATTTATGCCACGGGTAAATTATTCCTTTCCTACATATTCAACCACAAAATTTTAATTTACCAGGTCTCTGACTTACAAATGCTAGTTTTTTTCTTACTAAAAATCATTATGGAGAGGAAGCTGTGATCAGAATATAAAAGAAAGAGACATATTTATTCCTTTGCAACCATAGAAGTATTTAATATAATTTATGTAAAAGAATAGGCATTTTAATTGGAGCATATGCTTGTGTGAGCAGGTGGATGACCTGCTCAGCCTGGTGGCGGAGCTAAAGGAGGAGGTAGAACGACTGAGGGCCATCAGGGAATACGAAAGGGAAATAGACTGGTGGAGCTGCATCCTGCAGTCTTCCCAGGAAAGCCACCCTGAGAACTCCCCAATTCAGTCAGAAAGTCCAGTGCCCTCTTGCCCTAGGGTAGAGGGGGTGGACTTAACAGTATC